ATTTAGGTCTATTCCTTTATATTCCACTAATTTTAAAGTAACTCTGAATGTGATCACTTCCTTGATGTTTATCTCATTTACTTACACCCTATCCAAACACACTGATGTTTGTTTATCAACTTCGTGTGTTACTGCTTTGTTACTAGCATTCAGCCAGGATACTGAAGGTTATTTGCTATTTTATTTATTTTAAGACATGGTCTTGGTATGTGCACCCAGGCTGGGCTTTAACTCATGGTCATCCTGACTATGTCTTCTAGGTCATGGAACAATAGCTATTCATATTCATAACATCAGACCATCTGTAAATTATGATACTTCTTTTCTTGTTCATACCCTTTTTATTTCTTATTTGTGTTTTGGTATTCAAGCTGAGATTGCAAGCCTTACATTAAAGAATAATAGTAAGAAGTAAACAACCATGTCTCATTTTGAGTTATACAGAAATTATCTAATCACCTCATTCAGCCTAATGTTGGCTATTGGATTGTCATATTTAATTGCACCAGTTGGAATCCTCTATTTCTAGTTTCTACAAGGCTCTTTGCCTAAATGATGTTGCATTTTCTCATTACATTTTTGTCATCTAATACAGTGGTTCTCAACCTTACCAATGCAGAGATCCTTTATTGCAGTTCTTCATGTCATGGTTACCCCAATCATAAACTATTTTGTTGGTACTTCATACCTGTAATTTTGCTACTTCTATGAATTGTAATACAAATATCTGATATGCAACCCACAAAGTGGTTGTAACCCCTTTGTGAGATTCTAATGGATGACCTTAATTTTATTCTTGACTATTTCTATACTATGTATATGGACTCACATACACAAAATCTTCTGTGTACCTTAATGAAAATGACTTGAAATGGTCTATTGTTTTATTTTTATAATGGAGGGGATCTCATTGCTTAGCATTAATCTATTTAGATTCTTTCATATATTCCTGGCTAATTTTTATAGGTAGTTTGCAACTTGAAATTTATCAAATTCTGTATTTTTCCTTGCATCATGTTCACAGTATTCCCTAAAGATCCCTTTCATTTTGATGTATGTTTACTAATATTTTCCTTTCATCTCTTATTTAAGCATTTAAATTTTCTCAAGATTTTATTATTTTGAATAAATTCATCAATCTTCTCCATGTGTTTTCAAAACCAACTCTGTTTCAGTGATTTTTGCATTATTCTTTTTGGGTCTATTTCACTCGAACTTTGTGTTTTTTTTTTTTCCTTTGCTATATTTCTCTTTCTTTCTTTACTCCTTTGTTCCTTTGTCTTTCTCCAGTTCCCTTTCTTTCTCTCCTTGTTTTCTTTTTTTTTATTGTTGTTGTTTTTGTTTTTTGTTCATTTGTTTGTTTTAATTTTAGGTTCTCTTCAAATTCCCTTTGTTTCTAAGGCTGATCTTGACCCCTGATTTCCCCGCATCCACCTTATAAATACTGGGATTACAGGTATATACCAACACTTCCTACTTTTTGTCTTGCTAGTGATGAAGCCCAAGGCTCTGTGAATACTCAGTAAGTTATCTCCAAACAGCACCACAGGCCTCCATTTCTTTCTACTTTTTTTGTGTTAATCTTGTTTTGTTTTCCTAGGAGCTTAAGACACATCACTAATACATTTGCTGAAATCTCTGTAACATTTTAATGCATGCACTTTGATTTGTATACCTCCTACCTGCGACTGATTTTTGTGTTGTGTCTAAGATCTTTTCATAAGTCATTTGGGCCATTTCAAAGCTTCAAAATCAAAGGATTTTCTCCTACCTCATTATAGAAAACTACACTTAGTTCCTATGTGTGATAATAAGCCTTCTTCTCAAGATTTCCTATTTTAAATGAACTTCCAGTGCCATTGCAAGTTTCTGAGACTTTGTGAGATGTCACGCTTTCAAAGATTATACATTCATTTACTGAACATTTTCTTTGTCTTCAGTCACATTGTTCCAAAGAGACTGCTTTGTCTGCTTACATTCATCTCAAGGTGCGGTCCTCATATTCTGAGCAGAATTATATGCAGAAAATACATGACATCTATGAATTCTGGGATATTCTTCACATTTCTTTTTTTTTTTTTTTTTTTGCTTTTGAACAAGGTATCACTTGCTTGGTATTAAGCCAGGCTGGCTTCAGACTTGTGAAGTTCCAGCCTCAGTACCCAATGTTGACGTCAGCACAGTTATGCCACATTTGTTGTTCCTTCTAAACCTCATTTTGAAAGTATTAGTTGAAATTCAAACAATGGGGGAGATAGAAAGACCTGGAAAGATCTGGAGCTCCACAAAGAGAATAACAGATCCAAAAAATCTGGGCACAGGGGTCTTTTCTGAGACTGATATTCCAACCAAGGACCATACATGGAAATAACCTAGAACCCCTGCCCAGATGTCTCAGTCTCTGAGACATGGCAGCTCAGTCTCCAAGTGGGTTCCCTAGTAAGAGGAGCAGGAGTGTCTCGGATATGAACTCAATGGCTGTCTCTTTGATCACCTCCCCCTGAGGGGGGAACAGCCTTACCAGACCACAGAGGAAGACTATAAAGACAGTCCTGATGAGACCTGATAGGCCAGGGTCAGATGGAAGGGGAGGAGAGCCTTCACTGTTGGTGGGCTGGGGAAGGGGCATGGGAAGAGATGAGGGAAGAAGGGAGGGCAGGATTGGGAGGGGTAGAGGATGGGACTATAGCTGGGATACAAAATGAATAAATTTTAATAAATAAAAATTATATTAAAAAACAAAATCAAAAAAGAAATTCAAATATTGCTTCACTTTTTACATAGTGAAATTTAAATTTCTCTGTTTATCTCATAACTTACAGAAAAGTATGTGTGGGGTACTTTTTAAAATTCCTTTTAGTAATGAATAAAATTGAGGTTAAAAATCAAGTTCCAGGAATATTATTACTCTCTCTCATGAATACCATTGCTAGTATATTTCACATAAATTTTAAAGAAGTAATATTCATTATTTCCTAATCATTTATTTGTGTATTTCTGTAAGGAAGGTAGAGAGAGAAAGAGAGAAGGGGTAGGGGTGCTGCAGAGGTCAGAGGAAACTTTTCAAGAGGTGATTTTTTTCCCCCATCCACCATGTGATTTATAAGGAATTGAACTCAGGTTCTCAGACGTGGGAGCAAGTGTTTTTATTCACTGAGGTATTTCACTAACTCAATTATGGGTCCCTTTGCATTTCTTTTCTTTGAATTTTATACTTAAGTTAAGAGAATTATTCTTTTAATTACCCAAATAGGAAGTCTGAATATGATCATAGATTTCTCCATATTACATCGGTTATAACTCTCAACACTTTCACACAGAAAAGTACTTTCAGACATGGTCTACCAAATTATCTCTATATGTCATAATGACATGTAGCACTCTTTTTTTAAACTATTTTATTTGGGGTGTTTAGGTCTCTACCTTCCTTCCACCAATCCCCCAACCCTAAGTAGGAGAGAGAAGGTTAGTGGGGAGAGGGGGAACAGACCCCTTTATTTCTCCCGGATGTTTAGGGTCAATGGATTCTTTTAGGACTCTACCAATCTCTGTCAACAGCCAGAAGTCTCCGTCAAGCTGCTGTGTTCTCTCCTTCTGTCTGCTCTAAACTGCCATACCATCTGTCTCTGGTCTCTCCAAACTGCCACTCTGTCTGGGTTCTCATCTTTATATCCTCAGAGCCCTAGATAATGACCCTCTTTGTGCTGCACATGGCAGGCTGTTGCCAGCTGTCAAAAATCACACCCCGCATGAGAAAAATGTCAGCTGTGGACAAACTAACACCCAACTAAATCCCCCGCACTAGGGATTAAAATAAAAACGTATTTACATAACATAACAGTTTACAAAGAAACCAAACTTCTATTACAATCACACTCTCACTCTTTTTTCTACACTTTCCACCTTTAACACCATTTCCCACACTATCTTCAAACTTCCCTATCAAGATGCCTATCTGACTATAACCCAAGCAATGGAGGGGCTGAGGCAGGAGGATCACAGGCTTGAGGCAAACTTTGGTTATCCTGGAAGACCCTATCCATCAAAGACAAAACAAAGCAAAACACTTGAACTACAATGTAAAACAGCAACAACAACAAAAATAAAACACTTACATTGTGAATTTTGCTCATCTTTTGTAGAAAATTTAATTTTGAATATAATGCATTTTGACAAAACTTACCCTCATCTTCCTTCCCCTCCAGTTCCTTCTTATTTTCTCTCCTGCTTTATTTTTTTTTCTCATGAAAACCATATATTAGCTAGGATATTCCTAGCTAATATAGCAGACACATTTCAGTCTCTATTGTCATTTCTTAACTTTTTGAGAACATGCCAAAAGTAAACTATTGTTTTTTCCATTTTGTTGGTTAATTCTTACATTATAATTAGGGCAAAGATATACTTTAAAATCACTTGACAGAATAAGTTTAGAATAATGCCTTATATTATCTTCCTAGAATAAAGATGAGTGTTAGGAGGGCTTATCATATTCTGAAAGAACACATAAATGACAAATGGTTCAATTTAGAATAACAAAATGAAACTGTAAAAGTTACTGGGTTCCTCTGTGGATGACACTTACACTTTCTCAAGTTGTTAATTTAGCACTAAAAAATAAAATTTACAATTAAAAATTTTCCCACATATAGATTCTTGATGTGTGTTATACTATGTGAAGGCACTCTATGGTTTGTAAAAATTTAATTCTGTTATGTGTGCATAAATACCTGTATTTTCTAAATAATTAGAAAGTAATACAGACAATTCCAAAAATGTGTGCACCTAGTAGTAAATTAAGCCAAACTAAAATTAACATCCACATACATTATGCTAATAAACAAAAGAAAAAAATTATAGATATCCATGATGTTTAACAATACAAATATTTCCCTCTTCATTTACTCCCTTGAAACACAGCAAATAACTTGCTGTAATAATCTGAACTGTTTTTAAATGTATTATATAGTAAATATATAATAGTTACGAACATTACATACTTACCGGAGAATCATCAAGGTGATTGGTATGTTACCCGAGTTAGAGAAGGCAATTGCACAAAAGAAAAAAGCAAAAAACAAAGGTAATGTAAAGCATTTGGTATTGCATTTTCCAGGGACGGCATCAATGAAATCACCTTGACTGTCTGCGTTTGTCAGTCCTTCTTTAATGCAGGAACAGTTGTAGTATGTCTGTGAATGTAGAACATAAAAGAAACAGCATGTCAGAAGCAGTCAGGATAAAAGTGACCTTATTACTATAAAATTTAAATTTTAGCCAACATACAAGGGGAGGTTATCATGATTATACACATAACAAAATACTAGCAAGGTTACACAATCATTCATAACTGGATAATTGTCTATATTTCAAATAGCAGATAAAATGTAATTTTATTATAAGAATATTTATTATTAGAATAGTATGAGAGTAATTTATTATGAGAATATTTATCAAAACTATGAGTTCTTAGCTAGGTGTGGTGAGATCTGCCTTTAATCTCAGTACTCTGAAAGCAGAGGTGAGCTTCAGACTAGCTAAGGATACATAGTGGAACTCTGCTTCCGTCCCCTGCTGGTTGGGGTCTTTCAGAGGACATCCATGGTAGGCTTCAGTTCTGTTCCCTCTCTTCTACAATTTCCAGTGTCTATCCTATTTTCCTTTCTGAATGAGAATTAAGCAAATTCCCTAGGATTCTCCTTGTTGTTTAACTTCGTTAGGTCAGTAGATATTAGTAAGTTTATCCTATATTGTATGGCTAATATCCACTTATAAGTGAGTATATACCATGTGTATCTTTCTGCTTCTGGGATACTTGATTGTAGATGATCTTTTCTAGTTCCATTCATGTGCCTGAAAATTTTATGATGGAAAAAAAAGACAGCATCTTCACCAAATTTTGCTGGTCTAACTTGATGTTTACATGTAGAAAAATGCAAATAGATCCATGTTTATCTCCCTGCACAAAATTTAAACTCCAAGTGGATCAAAGACCTCAAAATAAAACCAGACACACTAAATCTGTTAGAAGAAAAAGTGGGGAAGAGCCTTGAACACATTGGCACAGGAGACAACTTCCTGGACAGAACACCAAGAACTCAGGCTCTGAGATCAACAATCAATAAATGGGACCTCATGAAAATGAAAAAGCTTCTGTAAAGCAAAAGACACTGTCGTTAGAACAAAACAACAGCCTAAAGAATGGGAAAAGATCTTCACCAACCCTACATCTGACAGAGGGCTAATATCCAGAATATATGAAGAACTCAAGAAGTTAAACACTAACCAACCAAGTAATATAATTTAAAAAAATGGGTACAGAGCTAAACAGAGAATTCTCAAAAGAGGAATATTGAATGGTGGAGTAACACTTAAAGAAATGCATTAGCCAAACTTTGGGTCCAGTGCAGGGAATTGTATGAAGGAAAGGGAAGATAGAAAGACATGGAGGGGACTGGAGCTCCACAAGGAGAACAACAGATCCAAAAAATCTTCCCCCTGGGGTCTTTTCTGAGATTGATACTCCAACCAAGGACCATGCATGGCAATAACCTAGAACCCCTGCACAGATGTAGCCCATGGTAGCTCGGTTTCCAAAGTATTTGATCACCTCCCCCTTAGGTGGGGGAAATCCTTACCAGGACACAAAGGGAAAAAAATGAAGCCAGTCCTGATGAGACATGATAAACTAGGGTCAGATGGAAGGAGAGGAGGACCTCCCCTATCAGTGGACTGGGAGGAGAAGAGGGAAGGAGGGTGGGATTGAGAAGGGATGAGGGAGGGGGCTGCAGCTGAGATAGAAAGTGAATAAATAGTGATGAATAAATTTATTTTTTAAAAAAGAGAGAAATGCTCAAAATCCTTAGTCATCAGGGAAATGCAAAACAAAACGACCATGAGATTCCCCCTCATACCCATCAAAATGTCTAAGATGAAAAACATTAAGATCAAAAACTCAAGTGACAACACATGCTCGATAGGTTATGGAGAAAGGGAACGCTCCTCCATTGCTGGTGGTAATGTAAGCCTGTGCAACCACCTTGGAAATCATTCTAGCACTTACTCAGAAAACTGGGAATAATGCTACCTCAAGCCCAGCTATACCACTCTTGGGCATATAGTGAAAAAATGCTCAAGTACACAACATGAACTTTTGCTCAACCATGTTCACAGCAGCTTTATTCGTAAGAGCCAGAATTTGGAAACAACCTAGATGTCCCTCACCTGAAGAATGGATATAAAAATTGTGGTACACTTATACAATGGAATACTACTCACCTACTAAAAAAAAGGAAATCACGAAATTTGCAGGTAAATGGGTGCTGAGTGGATCTCAAGGACCAAGATCCAGTGCAGTAATGTTCTACAAAGGACGGAAACTAAAGTGACGAAGTGCAACACTAAAAATGGTTTAGTGGTCAGTTGGTGAGATTTTGGCAAATTAGGCTATGCAACAATTGAAGAATTTGAGAAGTAATATTACCATGAGGTGAAAGAAATGGCCTTGCTGTTGTGCAAGACAATTAATATTTATGTAGTGAACTGAGTAAAGATTCTGACTATAAATTAGCTAAGATCTGTTCAGTAAAAGTGTGGAAATACATCACATGAAGTAGGATGGGCATTCAAAAGTTTGGTTCCATTTGATGAATGGCAAGCACTCTACTGAATAAGTCATTTCTCAAGCTCTATTTGCTCATATATTTTTTTGTAGACACTCCTATACTTTTATTTTTGACTTTTTAAAATAGAAAATAAATTTTTTTGTACAATATATTGTGAGTACAGTTTTTAATCCCTCATCCCCTACTTAATCTGCCCTACTTCCTTACCCATCAAATTCACAGCCTTTCTTTCTCTCTATTGTCAGAAAGCATGCAGACATATAATAATAAAAATGAAGATAATGATGAAATAAAATATATAGTAGAAATAAAGAAAAAAAGCCAAAGAAAAAGCATTTAAAAAAACCCATAGGGCTGCTGAGACACACATTTAATGTACTTAGAAAACCCATATAAACAAATTGAAAACTATACTTTATAACCAATGATCTGTAGTTAATAAATAAATACCCCAGGCAAAGCATTGCAGAAATTTTTTCTCACCTGGAAGAATACTATTATAAAATTATTTGTGTGTATAAAGATAAAGCTCTACAGTGATGTTTATATTAATGGTTTTTAATATCCCTATAATCTACAGATATACAAATTAAGTACCAACCAAATTAAAACAATAATAAAATTTAAATTAACTACATTAAAAGGATGAGCAGTATATTATTTTTAAAAATTTTTAATTGATTGCAATTTATTCACTTTGTATCCCAGTTATAGCCCACTCCCTCATCCCCTCCCAATCCTGCCCACCCTCTCTCTTCTCCTCCCATGCCCCTTTCCCAGTCCACTGATAGGAGAGGTCTTTCCATCTTCCATCTGACCCTAGCCTATCAGGTCTCATCAGGACTGTTTGCATTGTCTTCCTCTGTGACCTGGTAAGGCTGCCCTTTCTCAGGAGGAGGTGATTAAAGAGCCAGTGACTGAGTTCATGTCAGAGACAGGCCCTGTTCCCTTACTAGGTGGGCTATTTGAAGACTGAGATGCCATGGGCTACATCAGTGCAGGGGTTCTAGGTTATCTCCATGAATGGTCCTTGGTTAACCAGAGACCAAGCAAAGACCCCTGGGCCCAGATTTTTTTTTTGTTCTGTTGTTCTCCTTGTGGAGCTCCTGTCCACTTCAGGTCTTTCTATCCCCCCCTTCTTTCAAGGGGCTCTTAAGGTCAGGCATCCTAGCTTACTTGGAGAAGTGCAAAGCCTGGGAAAGAATGCCTCACACAACAAGGTAAACTGTTCCTGAGGAATGGCATCAGAGATAGTTCTCTGACCACTTCATTTACATATTTTGAGACTGAATACTGCTTCCATTTTTTTTAAATTATCAAATGCTATCATACTTGTGCCCATGCGTTCCATGTGTATACACATATACACAAGCATCAAAACATGCATACATACAAAATAAGAAGAAGAGGAACCCATAACCTTATACAATTGGTAGATTTGTAATTGCTCTGCACAACAGGAAAAAAGACTAGATAGATAGATAAATAGATAGATAGATAGATAGATAGATAGATAGATAGATAGATAGATAGATAGATAGATAGATAGAGATTATTTCTGGGTGGGAGTAGCAGCCCAGGAGATAAGACATTTCATGTTAGTACCAGAAGACATGTAAAACTAGAGTTTTACAGGAGGAACAATTCAGTTAAGTTTTATATCTTCCATTCATGTAAAGTCTCTATAGCTCTCGGGTTTCTAGAATGCCAGGTATGTTTTGTGAAAGCCTTGTATATGTGGTAAGATCTGGTGCACAGTCAAAGAACTGGGGACTGGGTATGTAGCTCAGAGGTAGAGCACTGGATTCAACACAAACACACATAGAAAATAATACACATATCTGAGTTACTGTGGAGCAGACAGAGAAACAGCAGGAAAATACAGAGTAGGCATTTTGAATCTCCAGAGAAGGAACATTTGAAGGAAAGATGATGTTTGGGATAGCACTGCAGCAAGCCTTTAGTGTATGAAAGATTATGTTCAAAGTTCAGTGAGCCCTGCTGAAAGGAAGCTCTGGAAACAAAAGGTAGGTTTTCTTTCCATGTCGTTAATATTAGTTTCTTTATTAAAAATAAGTTAAATATAAAAGCAAAATTTTAGAGAGAATTAGGACTAAAATCTAATCACTATCTACAAATGGAGCATGTTACTGGAAAGGAAGAAGTGTAATAAAAATTACCTTTTCATTGTGTAGGATTTTACTAGCAATGCAGCCTGCAAAGCAGGGAGAGAAATATTCAGTCTCATCTCTTCCACACACAGAAGAGTAGACAGAACTTTTGCAATCACATAACTCATTGCATGGAGCCGTGAGGTTTCCAAAGTTACCCAATCTGTGTGGTTGAGATTAAATACAATTACAATACCATCATTTAAATTGCTGAAGTATATATCAAGTTATCAATAAGTCCCACAAATGTGCTTATTGAAGCAATTTATTTTTCACAGATTTACGAAGGTAATGCACATTTAAGAAAGTAACACTTGATGGTACTAGAGAGATGGCTTAGTTCTTAAGAGCACTTTCTGCTCTTCCAGAGGTCCAAAATTCCATTCTCAATATCTACATGGCAGCTCACAAACATCCGTACTTCCAATTCCAGGCAATCTGCTACCCTTTTACATTTTCTGCAGGCACCAGGTACGCATGTGATACATATATATATATATGTATATATATATATATGTATATATATATACATACATACATGTAGGTGAATAGTTAAACACAAAAAATTAACTTAAATAAATCTGAAAGAGATGCCACTTGATTTTTTTATGCTATAATGCTATTGTTGCCACAGTCATGTTAACAAACAGAATCACCACCATCTACATTGGTTTCCTTTTCCCCCACTTCCAAGATTTCCATTACTCTTTTGTGACCTCTCTATTTATTAGTAATATCTCCGTGTTCATGTGTCAGATTTTATAGAGTCATCACACGATGCAACATTTTTCCTGCTTCTATTGCACAGAAGATTTTATTTGCTCTTGTGTGGACATTTCCATGATCCTTATGTGAGTATTAAAACTAGAATATTTAGACGGTGTAAAAGTTTTTATGTAACTGTTTTAAAACTTTACGTATATGAGTGTTTCTGCTACAATATTTGTATACTCACTGTGTGGGTGCAGCACCTATAGATGCAAAACTAGGATTGGATTCCTTGTGAGTAGAGTTATGTACAGTTATGAATCCCCATGTGCATGTTGGGAACCAAACCTGGTGCCTCTGAATGGAGAACACTGGACAACCTCTTGCAGCTCCATGAACTGCTCCCCCCTTAACCTTTAAAGAATCTGTCTGTTTTCCAAGTAGTGTATTGTTATATTTCAGCTAACAGTGTACAAGATTTTCACCTGTTCTCCATATTTCTCTGTAACAATATGATTTCATTGACTTTAGCCATTCTGATATGGGAAAAACAGTTATGATTGTGATTTGTGATTCACATTTTCCTAGTGACTAATGAGAGTGGACTTACTTCTAACCTCATATTTTCCATCTGTATATACATATTATTTGATGAAAGCCTATTTAAAATTATTTGCTCATTTTCATTGTGTATTTTATTACTAGTAAAAACATTATTAGGTATTTTACAGAAATAAATCTTTTATTCTGTATATTTTACTTTTTTTACACTCTGTGGTGTGGTTTTATTTTGTTTTTTTGTCCTTGAAAGCCAGGCATGATGGTGCACACCTTTAGTCTCAGGATTTGAGAGGCAGAGGCAGGTGGCTCCAGCTTTGATTTAAGGTGAGCTCTGTCTACATAGTGACATACATGTGAGTTTAAAAATTACATACATGACATACATGGTGAGTTTAAGGATATCCAGGTATACATAATGAGGATCTGTGTACACTTGGGTCTCCAAATAGAAGCAAATATAAAAACAAAAGGAGTAGTTAAAAGGGCAGTTTTAGCTATTATGAAGTCTGACATACAATTTTTTCCTGGATTTTGAGATTTATGTCATGTGAAAGAAATCCCTGCTGAATTGAAGACCAAAAAGACTTTCCCTTATATTCTTAGAACATTATGATTTACATTTATACTTACATTTTTAACTCCTTTGTATACCTTAAAGTTGACATCCAAGTTACAAAGAGATATCAAATGTTCTTAACTAAACAGCATTGTTACGCAGTTAAATTATTTTCATTAAATTTTATTTGTGAGTTTGCATATACTGTATCTGTATAAGAATATGTCACATGAGGGATATGCACAGACAACAATATATAATATATAACACGTAATATATGACATATATGATATATGACATGAAATATGATATGCAATGTGTAATATATATAGTATGACATAATACATGAAATTTAATTATATGCAATAATTAACATGTAATATATTATATATGATATAATTAATATATCATATATAATATATAGTGTGTAGTTTATAATGTAAAATACAGAATATAATGTATACTATATCATATATCATAACATGTGTTATACACTAATATATATGAATATATCATATGTTATATATTATATATTATTTGTTTTTTTATTCAAATGTTTTTTTTATTTTGAGACCATAATTTAAGTTCAGTATTTCTCTGCTCCCTTTCTTCTTCTAAATCCTACCCACTATCCTTCAAATTAATGGTTTATTTTTTCACTAAACGTTATTGTATGTATATTTGTATATGTAGATACATATTTAATTCTAAATATATAATCTCTTCATTCCATATAAAGCTATATATGTGTATGTTTTCAGGGCTAAATAGTCAGCTACTAGTATTTTTGAAAATGAATCTAGAGTCTCCAATTTGCATCCATGCCTTGCCAAAGAATAACCTTTTATACATACATACGACTCCATTCATTTTGACTCTCTAATCTATTCCATTGTTGTGCTTTTATCACCCTCTCAATTAACATAGTTCTAAAATATGTATTAGAAGCAAATAGGGTTAGTCCTTTACACTCATTATTTTGTATAATATTTTATTTTTTATTAGTTATAGTTTATTTCCTTTGTATCCCACCTGTAGCTTCCTCCTTCTTCCCCTCCCAATTCCACCCTCACTCTCTCTTCCCCATCCATGTCCCTCCTCCAGTCCACTGATAAGGGAGGTCTTCCTCTCCTTACTTCTGATCCTAGTCTATCAGGTCTCATCAAGAGTGGCTGCATTGTCTTCCTCTGTGGACTGGTAAGGCTGCACCCCACTCAGGGGGAGGTAATGAAAGAGCTGGTTAATAAGTTTATGTGAGAGACAGTCCCTGTTCCCATTACTAGGGAACCCACGTTGACACTGATCTGTGTCCAACCTCTGTGCTGAGGTTCTAGATTATCTCCATGCATGGTCCTTGGTTAGAGTATCAGTCTCAGAAAAGACCCCTAGGCCCAGATTTTTTGGTTCTGTTGCTCTCCTTGTGGAGCTCTTGTCCCATCCAGGTATTTCTATCTTCTCCTTCTTTCATAAGATTTCCTGCACTCTGCCCAAAGTAGTCTCAGCATCTGCTTTGATACCCTGCTGGGTAGAGTCTTTCAGAGGCCCTCTGTGGTAAGCTCCTGTCCTTTTCCCTGTTTTCGCCCTCTTTTGATGTTCATCCTCTTTGCCTTTTTGAATGAGGATTGAGCATATTACCCAGAGTCGTCCTTCTTGATTGGCTTCTTTAGGTGTACAGATTTTAGTATGTTTAGCCTTTATTATATGTCCAATATCTACCTATGAGTTTGTGTATACCCTGTGTGACTTTCTGCTTCTGGGATACCTCACTCAGGATGATCTTTTCTAGTTCCTACCATTTGCCTGCAAATTTCATGATTTCCTTGTTTTTAATTGCTGAGTAGTATTCCTTTGTGTAAATGGACCACAATTTCAGTATCCATTCCTCAACTGTGGGTCATCTGGGTTGTTTCCAGCTTCTGGTTATTACAAAAACAGGTGCTATGAACATGGTTGAGTAAATGTCCTTGGGAATCAACACTAGAGGATTTATTTTTGTGAAGATTTGACTTCTTCCCAAATTGCTGGTGTGTATTTAGTGTTGTACCAACAAAACCCCACGAGATGGGGGCGGGGCAAGATGGCGGCGCCAGGAGGATTCACATTCTGAGCAGCAGCACAGCAGGATCGGCACAGTGACCACCAATCAGAACTCACGGCCATAAAACACAAGTGATTGTGTTTCCCAGGTGAGAGGATACCCCACGGTGGGGGATTCAATCAGCTTTAACTCACCCGGCTAAACCACGGAAGAGATCCCGGTTCCTCTAGGCACTTGTTCACCAGCCCAGAGTCACATGCCAGCATGATCTGGTCACTGTCCCAGACTGAACTGTGGGCCCACAACATCACAGACTGAATTTTCCAGTCAAGAGATAACCCCACGGAGCAGGAAACGATTGGGACCGACTTTAGGTTACCCAGACATACCCTTGAAAAGACTCGGGTACCACGGGCACCCCAGGAGCCAGCCCAGAGCCAGAGCTGGGGAACCAGGTGCCTGCACAGAGTCCTGCCTGTGCGCCTGATTCGCTGCCTCAGATAGAACTGTGGGCTCCAGGGGACCAGAGACTGAGTTTCACTGTCAGGTGCAAACCCACAGGGAGGGAAACAGCTGGTCTGATCTCAGAGCACTGAGCTGATACCACCACCCTGAAAAGGTATCAGAAAAATTACCCAGTTTAGGCAGACGCCCAGGCTCCCAAAGGCTAGAAAGGCGGAGGCACAGTTGGGAGTCTGTGCCTGTGGGTTCTAATCACCACCCCAGACAGAACGGTGGTCGCCAAAGCAAAGACTGGGTGTCCCTGGAAGAAGGAAACCCCACAGTGTGTGGGGGGGATCATCAGGTCTAACACTCAGGACACCCAGCACCAAAAGACTTTCTGGATTCACGCAGACTCTAGGCTCTAGCCTTCTACTGCAGGCAGAAGCACTGTGCTCAGCCACCATTATTGAGTACCCCTAGGGCACTGGAGCACACAGCTGCATCCTCAGACCTACAAAAGCCAGAGAGGCATTGCAGCAGCCCTCAGATACTATGCCAAGGATCATCCAGTTAGCCCTAGCTAGAATGACAAAACTGTGGGAATCCCTGGTACTTCAAGAGGGCTGCACCCAGAGCATCCAGACCAGAGCAGTGCCCGCAGCCGCCATCCCAAACAGGGACACACAGCTTCCGGTCCAGAGTGAGGCGCCCAGCCTTCAGAACAGAGTGGAGCCCTCAGTTACCAGCCTCCAGACCAGAGCGGCGTCCCCAGGCGCCAACTCAACCTAGGTGCACATTCTCCAGGCCCAGAGTAGAGCACTCAGCCTCTGGCCCAGAGACTTGCTGGGCGCTCCTC